TAATAATAATAATAATAATAATAAAAGCAAAAACAATAATAATGCATGGTATTTGTATGGCACATATCCCCGCTCGAGAGCAAGCTCTATGAGCTTTCCACTATATTATTGTTTTCATCCCAGCAGACCCCAATATATTATAACAGTCAGAATCATTCTCAACTTCCCAGGAAGCATACAGTGCAAGCAGTTCAACAATAACGCATGTTTCAGAGACTTGTGAATTGACATATGTTCACAACAACAAGTCCGCTGTTTTCACGTTAGTTTACAGCATAATGAGTACGGCTTCGTTTTTAATAGCAGGGTCGGGATGGTCGAATTACCTAAAATACATAAAAAGAATTCAGTTTTAAAAGCAGCAAGTATAATCTTCAAGCAAAATAACAGGTTTTAGGAGTTGGCGTTCTCATTTTTTTTCTTACTTCATAGTCTCCTTCCACTTGGCTTCCATCTCCTGCGACACCTCCTCAACCTTCGTCTTCAGCCGCATGTCCATCTCCGTCATCTTGCCCTCGTACATCAATTTAGCCTTGTCCAATTCGGACTGGAAGGGTAAGAAAGAGAAGAGAGAAATTAGGAGTTAAAGTCTAGCAATTTTTTGTCTTTAACTCTTTTTTAAAGAGCGTAGTGGGCACACAATATCCGAGTAGCAGCAGCATAGAAAGAGGTATAGTTGTGGCACACTGCCAACCATCATACACAAATTATAAACATGGCGTTCCATCTTTCATGATAAGTCTATCATTTTCTTGCCTTTTAAAGTTAAAGATAAAGAAAACAGACTTGGGAAAAACCTACACAAGTAGGTAAGTTTTTTTTAAGTGCTCCAAACCATCGCGTTTTCAAGGGTTATCGAACAACCACAACGCGCGTCCTGAAAGAGTTAACGCCGAGAATCCAGAGGTAGACAGATAAAACCTCCTTGACAAAACAAGTCTCGCGAATCCTCAGATCACCTTCGTCACAAAAAACACCCATTTAAGTCGGGAAAATGGGGCCTGGGCCAGGAACGACCTTGTTGTCTTCGAGAACTGTAAATATTTAACATTTACTGGAAGCAGGTCATAAAGACGGACAGCTTTGCCCCGGACTGTCGCCACGTCCTACCGTATTCTCTACGCACGATCTTTTCATATTATATGTACACTACAGTTGTTGACATCTATAGACGTTAATTGGGACCCAGTTCTGACATTGTTCACGGTGGGAAAAGACAAACACTAAAAACAAAAACAAAGTGTAGTACGCTCATGTTTTGCTGGTTACCGATGCTCCACTCGTAATTTTATCGGGCTCTTAAGAAACAGTTATCCACTATTATTAGGTCAGATATATTTTTTTTCTGTCCAGTTTCTTTTTTTATGACTCTATCCACAATCGAACGCTAATATATGTATTACAAACGTAAAGATCAAGGTTCACACCACACAGGAACGATGGATATTCCAACTCAAAATTCATAGACAATTTTTAATTCCTACGCTAATAATTCTATTATAATGTGCACGTTCAAATTGATACTTCCGCCATTGTGTGTCCGTGAGTTGGTATGTGCGTGATTGTGCGTGTTTTGAATGTGTATGTGTGTGTGTGTGTGTGTGTGTGTGTGTTTGTGTGTGTGTGTGTGTGTGTGT